ACAAATTCGGATTTTTCAGGACTGAAATTTTTTCAGGAAAAAAGTGTAATCGTAGTAAGTTGGTAGTCCTGATCACGAATCTGAAGGAATTTTGAGCCTATTTTGCCCCCTAATATGTTTTACCGTAAAAATGGGGTGTTCCATTGTGAGTGGCGGACAGTGTATATCACTTTGGCCAATTCAGGCCCATTCAGGTGGTAGGTGCATTTTGAGCATCTCCATCAGTCCTGAGAGTTTCATCGTTCTACCTCGAATATTACGGAAGATACGGGGATGTTTCCATGAGAAGTGAGACACTTTGTATAATTAGGTAGGTGTTGGCATGATTTTAATAATTTTCTTGTATTCACATATTCACATGTGAAATCCAATTGTCTGTTGTAGATTATAATTGAATGATTGTATAATGATACATTGACATCATATCGCACGGAGGTGGAGTGTTATCCTAGAGATAGACCTACCTTCAAATCAACAAGCACTGGCTTGGATAAAACAGGATCTTCATTGCTTTCTATCACATGCTCTAATCGAAGAAGAAATGATTCGCCTTTCCAAGGTTCTAATGTGAGAATTTGAACATTATCAGGAAGGGCGTGGTTCAACCCAGCATACTAAAAAGTTAAAATCTGGTAATCGAATGAAATATTCGGGAAATTCCATAAACAAACCTTCATTCGATATTTTGATTTATATTGTTGATAGGTTAGGCCATTAGTAGGCGACAGAAATGTCCACGATGAAAGAAGTTTCCTTTGAATTATATCTTTTTCTTGGGCAGCAATGGTTTTACCTGAAAAATACAATATTTGAATGAAAAATTGATAACGGAGGAGTAATTGGTGGAAGTGAATCTTGCTCTCCAGATAGCAGCAATAGTTTTAACAATAATTTATTTATCAACATAGAAATATGGAAACTCAATAGTTCACATGATTGTTAGTAAAATAGAACTACTGTCAATGAAAACTAATACATGAAACGAACAGTCAGAACTGAAAAAACAATTTTTTTTGTGAAATCATCTGAAGGAAAATTCGTTCAGGCCAGTTTTAACTCCCTACACTGTAGGTTAGTGGACCCTGACACCGACAGGTGTCAGTGCAGGGTTCTTCACTGAAGTTCTTCCTGCATATGTTGTTGGTGATACAACTGCCACAATAGATTTTCAATTATTGGAACAAACTTGCAGACGGGTTTCGGGCTGTTTGGTCACTCGTCAGTGCATGGTAGTGTCTTTCATCAACATAAAGTCGATAATTTCCGACAATTGAAAATCGAATTCTTCAGAGTATCATTCCACGACAACAAACAACAGGTTTGTCATCACCCCATCTGCCTCTGGACGAGGTAACCACTCGCATATCCGTCCGAAATTTGCCCAATTTCTCATATAGATAAAATAAACTTTTCACATATAGTCAATGGGCATACTTGAAGACTGAGTATAAATCAAATCATCTTTTTTATTTATTCATTTATTCATTTATTTGTAATACAATACTCTACATGACATAGCCCAATTACAGAGCAGGAAATAACAGAGTATAATGGATACATCACAAACAAGTGACTGTAAAGTCTACAAACACTTCAAACAATACAAACAAGTGACTATGAAGACTACACATTTTATTTTTATTAAAGGTGACAAAACAATTATTTTTGAATTTGGGATTTTATATTTGACAATTTGCAACTGAATATATCTAAATTATCGCTAACAGAATTTGTCACTTTACACNAATCAATAATTACTCACCACACCGTGGGGTACGTGATTGATGGGTCCGAGAATCATATGCCCTAAGCAAGCGCAGTGAGCCAAAAATGACAGTCTTCCGTATTTGACCGGCTAAGATTTCTGCCTGAATGGGCAATCCGGCATGATCTGGAGCTGAGAGGGTAGAAATGGCATCATTTCACCACGGGCCCCAATAATCAAAACAACCATCTTGACAGGGTGGTCCAGATAGAGTGTATGAAGTTCGATGAGAAAATCTAAGATATTTTATCTGTTTTTCTTCCCCCTTTTGGACGAAATTCGTCTCGTCAGGAGTTGAAAACTCCACGACAAATATCGTCTTGCTGTGTTGATCGAAAAGAACTACCTACATCAGGCTTATAAGTTTGTATAAGCCTGAGGATGGCTAATGAATAGTTCCAATAAATTCAGCACTTCTCTTTCCCCACAACTGAGCCAATATCCCCCGGAGCGTAGAGCATCAGCGATGTCTTGGCAATACCGTAAAAGTATGGAAATATTGACGCGTTATGTCAATGGATGTAGGCCAAGACTGCATATGCTGGACATGCTGATAGCAAGTGCATTATGGTCTCAGGCACTTCGCGACAGACCCTGCACCTTGTATCAGGAAGCTCAATACACATCACTCGAGTGCGGTAGACTGAGGTGTTGAAGACATCAGAGTTTAGGTATAAACTAATTGAAAATCAGTATAGCATGAAAGAAATTTTACCAACCCGTTTAATAGACATCTAAAACCAATTACCAATTTTTACATTGGAGAACAGATTTGATGGAGGGAAAAATTCAATTTGATATGGTCATTCAGTAAATTTTACCAATCCCTAAGCCTAATAATTTCCTAGCCTTCCAAAAGACTGATTTTCAAACTTTTCTCTTCCGAATGTTATACGTTGCAGTCGTTGTTGAACTCATGCCCCTCTGCCTAAAGATGGTAAATGTGGAATTGGTCTTCACATTCAAGAAACTACTCTATGTTTTTTAATTCTATGGAAAACGGTCCTCCAAGTTTGGCCAGTATCAAGTTTTGTGCGATAACTAAAAGTCAACTCATATAACCTGATCTATATCTAACACTGACGTCAATAAGAGAGTGTGTGTTCGGTGAGTCTTGGCCTAATACTCCACTCCATCCACCCCCGCTCTCCGAGCGGTCCTCAACTTACTGATGGGCACTTCAGCAAGATTGACATCTGACCTCTTTTTGGTCGAAAGTCAGCCTTTAGGTGCTATTCTTTCGCGATCGGATAAATATTTAGTCGTGACTATTCTTAACTGAATTTTTGCAAGGGGGCCCCCAAAAACTAACCGGCGGTTGTAATGAGCGTCGGGCGTTCCTCAGTGAATCTGAGGGGAATTGAATCGCGGTCGAGTTGTTCTACGTTGAACCTACCTGAAAGAGAGTTTATCTGATTAGTATTATACTTGCCTGAGTCGCCTGACGGCGAATAGTGGGGGTGGTCGTTGGTTTTGTTTTGTTAGCCTCGGGTGTTTATCTCTTTCTTGGAATCTGGGGATCGCATAGCGCTGGGTTGTTGTGCGATCTGATTCTATCGAACACGCTTTCTGCGTGTTTTCTCATTTACACGTCCACATATTGCGTGTCCAGGTCTAAGTCTCTGTATATAAATCTGTTGGGGATGTAGAACGGTGCGTTTACGGCGGCCCTTACGCTCGCTTTCATAAACGACTATATCTTCTTTCTGCATGTCTGTGCGCACTGGCCCCAGGCAGTGCAGGTATACAGTATTATGGACATAAGTACGGTTTTAATCATCAGAAACTTCACTTTCAACCCCATGTTGCTTCTGTGTCCTACGATTGGTGCCAGACGTTGTCTGGCGTGTCTGGCCATTCCTATTCTTGGCCTACACCTGCCGATATAAAGAAGATGTCTTCTAGTGATCTGTCCACCTTCCTGAAAAGGACAGAATGGACGATGACCTAGGAGGAAAACTCCTCGGGAGGATGTACATATGGCCTAAGTACTGTGGATCTACACTTCCCCTCCCTACTCTACAGACAGAAGAGTTGTATGACTTGAATCGGATTGTCTAGTATCGTTTTGAGCGTTCTTGGGGAACCTCTCTCTCTCTCTATGATTATATAAAGTACTGATCAAATTTAGTCAGCATATACACGCCTCAGGAAGGTATTCTATAGTGAATACGCTATGGATTTTCATCAAGTATCGACGAATTCCATCACATTATAGGGGCAATGAATTCATGCAAGTTGAGACAATATAAACACTTAGCGATAAATTGACGCAGTGGTTAGTCTACCCTATTCGCGATTCCAAGATCGTGGAATCGAATACCCTTTCGACCACATATTCATCTAGTTGAAGGTAGGAGCGGCTCAAGGAATTATCAACATAACCTACCCAGAATACAAAGATAATGACCATCGTAGTCGATGCCACTGACACCCACAAAAAATATAAAACACCGATTCAAAACATATATTAAAATCAACTTTAACTCAAATTTGTATAGCTAACTATTTGTTCTCCATTTCTATAATGAAAGTACGAATTTGCATGGCAGTCAAAACTATTTTCAGACCAATAGGATCGTCTAAAGAATCCACTTTTGTATCCATCATTCTGTTTTTCAAACTACTGTTCCATTTGATCCTTGCAGATGCGTCTTTGTCGTTCTTGGGAAGTAAATCTTCTAGATAAGAACTGGTGTTGAAATGGAGTCTATGATTGTCTGACAGCCATTGATTCGCGCCAAGTGTTGTTTCTCTCAAGGAAGTTATTTCGAACGCTGCAAAAAGGTCCTGAAAAATAAATTGGTTGGTGATATTTGAATTGGCCAAGAACTCACAAAATGAGAAATAAAAAGCTGAAACCAATGATGAAGATATTTGGATAACGTCGTTATGTAGATCAAACTAATTCCGTGACATAAAAATCGTAATTTATGAATGAAATGTGTTTTTTTTTCCAAAATCAGTACCAACCCAGATTGGTAGCCCTAAGCCAAGTGTCTTACGGCGATACATCGATGTCTACCAGTAAACGTGACAGTGTTTTATGTAAGTCAGTTAACATCGAAATTGTGTAATTATGGATCAAAAGGTGTGACATTAGAATGAATTTGCTCTTTTTTGAAACACCGTCATAAATACGAATGTATTCCAAATATCCAATTTGGAAGGGTTGGTTTCGTCAACTCAAAGAGTGAAGCCATTAATATTGGTGTACCACAAGGATCGATCCTGGGACCTATTTTATTCATAGTGTACTCTAATGATTTGAATAACTTCTGGAACGGCGTTCATGTAACCATGTATGCAGACGACACGTCATTGATTTCTCAAAAAAACGAATTTAATATGCAAAAAAGATACAGATAAAGCTTTACAACTGATGCAGGACTGGTGCAATACAAATTTTCGGAATTTGAACGCTCATAAAACCCAAATTATATGATTTCATAACTATCAAAGAAAATGCAATCCTCTCAGAATTAAAATGAGTGTTGATGTATCCATTGACAGTACAGATGAAACCAATTTTCTTGGACTTTTTATCGGCTAAAATGTAATCTGGAAAAGTCACTGTACAAACCTAATAAAAAGATTGAATTCCGTATGTTTTATGTTCAGGAATATCAAACTTATACTTGGAATACCTCAGCTAGTGGCTCCATACCATGCACAGGTTGTGTTACGAATTAGGTATGGAATATGTTTTTGGGGAAATTCCACTTTGGCAAAAACTGTTTTTTTATACAAAAAAGAAAAGTAAGAATAATAGCTAGAGTTCCTAGTACATATTCCTGTAGGTGCCTTTTCACCTTTTAGAATTTTGACCCTCATGTCTGTCTATATTTATGAATTATCTGTCTTTATTTTTAAAAATAGACAAAAATTTGTTTTG